AGGTACCTGTTTAGTCTACCTAGGTACTAACCTACCTAAGGCTAGTAGTAGGTAGGTAGGTAGGTAACTTATGTATCAGGCTCCTTAGCACCCAGGTAGGTACTGTGTGCTCGTTTTTGGGGGGGTCGCTTATCGGACGGCGACTAGCGATAGCTGTGCTGTCGACATGGCCATATGAGCAGAACACCAACCAATTTAGCATCGTCTTGCATATCTTCGTATACTTACACGGGGCTTTACGAGAAGCCCGACTCGCAAGACGTGCGTAACCCTGGCTCCGACACTCGCGCCTCAGCTTTTAGCCCACCTCTTTTAATCAAACCCTGACATCCAATACATCACATTGGCCAAGAAACCGTGTCCTCGCTCCTTTCCCTCTGTACCGCATTTTTTTCAAATCAAAAGGCCCCAGCCTAGCCTCATTGGAATCCATACAGATTCAAAAAGTCCCAGCCAAGATTCGTTGGAAGGGAACTTCTACAGCTGACTGGTGAGTTGTAACTATTTATTGGGTTCTGATTGGTTCTGGTTTCGGCCGACACCAGAACCAACCCATGTCGAGTGGGACGTTCATGGGGTCCTTTGTGTTTCTATCCACATGGAGACTTGACCTTGTTCATTGTATTGAGTACTGGGCATGATACTTGTACCATATTTTTCCGACTGTGTCACTATCATTGTGTACTTGTGCGATCTTGAGAGACCGCATTGAATAACGTACCTTAGGAGGTAGTTCATAGTGTCCTCAGGATGATGGATAAGTAGGTAGGAAAGATATGTATCATATGAATATATTTGTCTATGTAGTGTGGATATGTACCCTTCGCGAACGAGAAAAGCGATACTGGCCTAAGCATCATATGAGGCAATGCAGCTTAGCGAGCGTGCCTACCCAATAAGGTAGGTAGGCACTTCTTCCCCGTCCTTCTCCTCCTTCCTCCTCCTCTACTATAGTTCTCTCCTATGGAATGCGACAACAAACATCCCTGATATAGGTAGGTAACCCACGCTGCTGCTCGACTAGTGTACATACACGAAACGAAACAAAACAGACGGACACTACCGGGACTCACTTTAGTTCCCACTCCTCTCTCACTCCTTGTCCGACGTCTCCTTCCTACTTGGGCCGTAGCACGCCCGCCAGTGGAAGGTTGTCTTCTTCACCACCAACGTAACGCAACGCAAGACAACACATCCCAGTTCGCACTCGTCACCCCAGAGCACACAAGAAAACGCGACAAGGTTCGAGTCACCGTCGGCAACTCACCCGGGACCGGCCAGCCCAGAAGAGAGTACGCCCGACCAGTCTGCCGCATAACCGCCAGGATACTGGATCCCTGGATGGGGCCCTACAGGACAACATGGCTTCTTTCATCCCTCTCATCAACGACCTCCTACCCATGATCATTCCTTCCTCGGTGTCTGTCACCAAAGCGAGCGCCCTCCGCCCTTCTGATGTGACGCTCCAACCCGGTTCTGCCAACGAGGCAGATGCCGTTGTTAGCAAAAGCGATAAGCTCTGCGCATCGGGTAAGTCAATGCCGCTTCTATGACACCGTCTCCTCGACCTCTGCGTAACCTGCTCTCGAATCATGCATCAACCATCTCCGAGGGGATTCCGTTCTGGCGGGTGTTTATTGCTACTGCCTCCGATTGCCCCCTTACACACTCTTCATCGTGCTCTTCGTGGCTAACAAGACCAGTCCTCACTCTTAATGCACATGCGACATCGGCCATCCGTCATCACGGCGAACAAGGTCAGGATCCCTCTACCAAGTCAATTTCTGACCGCGCAACAGCGGTGATGGGTCTCTAATGTTTGCCAAGATACCATCATTTACATGGCTTCCGGAGCTGGTCTTTTGCTTGTCAGCCCTGGAGCAGGGCAAACCGTCAAGCGGCATGAGATGTCCGCTGGCGATTTTGCTTTTATCCCGTCATGGACAGAGCATCAGATGCTCAATGAGTCGGACGATGATGCCGTGTGGGTCATCACCCGCAGCGGTTCACAGCCTGTCAAGGTGGGCTTGACGGATTGGGGAGGTGATGAAGCCAAGTAACCATACCGCCGTCATTCGTTTGTGGCATGATTGGCAACTAATGGTGAACGACTGGTCGACCCGAGGAATCCCAACTCTCTGGCGAAGAAACACAATTCAAGACTGAGATGTCACGTCATCGTGGTATTTTCGGCTCCTGCGATGGATGACTAGGCGTGTGCCGATGCTCTACTGATGCTATAGTATACGCCAAAGCCTATTCCGTCGGAGAATCACCTCTTATGGCGGCCACGATCGGCGCTCTAGTCCGCGGGGAGTCGAAAACCTGCGCGTGATCCTTGTTCGGGAACCAGAGAGTGTTGATGCCGAGCTCGGCCGAGCGGTGTTGTTCATAATCCCCACCTGGCGTGAGTCCAGCCTTCACACCAGCAACGTTACTCTGGCCACGCTCGTTCAGCAGCCATGCGGGATGGTTCGCCCGGTCACTCCCGGCCAGATACCTGGCCACAGCATGGGTGTCAACTATCAGGTCCAGCTCCGATAAACAAACAGTTACTTGTCTTGCTTCCTTCCGTTCATCGCGCACATGCCCCAGTTCTCCTACCAGCTCGCTTGCCCAGATGGCATTCTCTCTCCAAAAGAAATATCTACCAAGGCAATGGGCAACTCCAGGATCCGTGCTAGCGAAATACCACAGTTGCCATTCGTTGGCGGTCGTTGGTCGACGGCGCGTGAAGTTATAAGCGACATCGGGCAGATGGAGCAGTATGCTTACGGGGTCAATGAGCACCGCTCGCTGAATCCTCGCTTGTAATTCGGGACTTTTCATAGCGTGTGTCGACAATATGGAACCGTACGAGTGAGATACGAGGGCAAATTTGTCCCACATGTGATGGTCCAGTATCTTCTTGAATTGATCAAGGAACACCTCCTTGCCAAGCGGTGGCTCCGTTAGCCGAAAGCAAACAGGCAGGATCTCAGGGACAACGACCCCGGTCTGACCTTTGCCCTTTGTGCCAACGATCTCGGCAAGGAAGTGAATGTACGGCCACAAGCCAATGCCGATACCGTGGAGAAAGACGACAGGCAGCCCCTCGGAACGGTGAGGACGGTACCAATAGCTCAAATTTCCGGCCGAGGTGCGGCGACTAGCAAAGATCTGCTGCAGCCGTGGTGGGAAGACGGCCTTTTCTCGTGGCTGGGCGTAGTACTCGAAGCCGTTGAGAAGGAGAAGGACGTGAGTAGCGTGGTCCAGGAGGGCCATGGTCGCGTACCACCAAACGGTGCGGAAAGCCGGCTCGACGGAGTCGATGGTGAGCCGCAAGCACTTTGCTTGGCCCCGGCCCGGCTCGAACGCTCTGCCCAAGCCTTTTTCGGTATAGGAGATGTATTCGTCCACCTCAACGTCGTAGTCGTCAGCGGAACTTGCCCCGCCGGTGCTTCCATCTTCAACGTCAAAGAAAGCCCAAAGAAGGAACTCGCGCATGTTGTCGCGGCGAATTTCAGACGTCTCGGAACCCAAAAACCACATGCGAAGGTAGTCCTCGTAGTTTGGGACTGTGGCCATGCATCTTTCAAACAGAGCTCGGCGCTCAATCGGCGACGATGGTGGCGGGTGTTTGGCAGGCTCTTTGAGGCGTCGGGTGTAAGGCAACCAGATGAACAAGACGTACAGCAACTCTATCAGCATCATGCCGAATATGACTTGTGCGGTTGTCTTCCATCGCGCTGGAGACTGGCTGTGGTTCATGCCAAGGTAGCAAGCCGTGAGGATCGATACGTAGGGGATGAGTGGGTATCGCATAAGTATGATCCAGGTGCGAATGAACACCCACTCATGAAAAGTGCGGCCCAGCATTTCGAGACGGTGCTGGGAGACGGGTGGAGTGTTGTCAGGAGGAATTCAGAGAGAGGAAGCAATGCGCCCGGGCGAGAGAGCTGCAGCAATAAGTGACAATTCAGACAAGTAGCGAGTCTGTAGATTCCATGGCGCACGAAGGACGAGAACAGACGATCGCGAACCCCTCTCCCTCGATGACTCTTATGGGTGCAGAGTTTGCGTGAAAGAAGTGCTCGTCGTGGGTGTTGGTGGACTTGGTGTCATGTGTTTTGTTGAGATCGTCCGCATCACAAGCGAGGTACAGCAAAGGTACATAACCAGAGAGGGAACGGCATGGATCGGATGACGAAACTCACGCCAAACGCCGAACCCGCTCCCGCCACAGCCGCCGCCCTCGCCACAGCCGCCCTCTCTGCTTAACTGGCTGTTTTCCTGCCTCCTTGCTTCCCTTCAAAGACAGACTGCAGTAGTGTAGGCTTATGATGCACAAGTCATTGCATGTACCCTGAAGATGTCTCGAAAAGTTTTTGGTGGGACAAGGCAGCACCCAGGCATGTAGGATTGCTCGTTGCAGCCGCCACGGCCCGGGGTCAGTTCCGGTCCGATTCATTGGACGCATCATTTGGCCGTAATTTGAACGTACCAGAAACAACCTAGGCGTCATTGAGAACGGAGTTGTCTCCCGACGTTGAATCGACCCCCGTCTTCCCAACGCTTCAACGACCCCGATGCAGGCTTGCGTGGACCAAGATGCACAAACTAAATGCATGTCAAGTGGTCATACCTCGGCACTCAGGTGCAATGGGACAAACTGATGAATGGGATGGCATGGTGAGCCTTGTCTTCACATGCTCGCAACACATCCCCCCCTCCCCCTCCCCCTCACGTCTTCTCTGCTAATGTCGCGGACCAGGGATCCGGACGGTGACTCTCCCGGCCAGTTGATGGCTCATTGTCGTAATTTCTGGTTGGCTCCCCGTTATCAAGAACTTTTGGGCCACAATTGGTGAACAAGGATCCCTCCATTATCGACTACTTCTGACCCAGACCAAGCATGCTCTGTAATTCCTCCGGCGCTCCGTTCCCAACATTTGCCGTTTGCCCGTCTCCCTTGGCCACCCAATGCTGGCCCGCTCGCCTAGCCGCCAATCCACCCGGTGCTAAGAAAGCATGGGCGCCGTCCAGGACGCATAGTCCCCTACGTTGACGTTAACGGTGCTGCGCTCGAGTGGCGACGGCTTCGTCTTGTGGTCTATCAGGAAGTAGTTGATATATTGCGTCAACTCGGCGTTCTGCTCGCCTGGGAACTGACAGTGGTTATGTCCGCCGACCAGCGAGAATCCCATGTTCTGCGGCACCCCGAGAGCCTGGTAGATGAGCCGCCCGGCCTTCATGCAGCCCGTCATCGATACGGGCCCCAGCCAGTCAATGTCATTCTCGGGCACGTAGAGGCCCCGCGGCGCCACGAGCCCGGCCAACAGGTGATGGTCCTCTGGGATCTGGGAAGACTTGGTGGACCACGTGTTGAAATTGGGAGAGAACCAGACGTTCTCTTGGACGATCTGTCCTGAAGTCTGGATGTTCTTACCCTTGTTCTTCTCGCTGTCCGAGATGCGCCAGCAGGCGGCCCCCCCGGAACCCGACTCTTGCGGGATCGTCAGGGCAATCCTCTTGTCCAGGGCGCCGGCGACGAACGCGCCCTTTCCGTTCCTCGAGCAACCAGTCACGCCGAGCCTCTTGGCGTCGACGCCTGTCTGCGCGGCGCCGAGCTGCTCAAGGCCGTCGATGATCCTACCCACGCCCCAGGCCCACGCCGTCAGTGCGCCGGCGCTGTGCTGCCGGCCGAAAAGGTCGTAGAAGAGGCCCTGGCCTCTGCTGCCCTGGCCGTTCTGCGCGGCAAATGCGTCGTTGCCAAATGTTATTTGCGCGACGGTGCCAGGGACGGGTATACTGGCGCCGCCGATGCCGATGATGGCCGGGAACGGACCGTTACCGGAGGGCTTCTTGATGGCAGCGCTCATGCTGACGCTCGTGCTGCCAACCGTGACCTTCAAATTCAAGTTGCCGCCGGACAGGGAGGCCTCAACCCTATCCGGGGGCGGGGGGAAGTCTCCGAGCTCATACTGTTCCATGATGCTCTGTATCTCATTTGCGCGGCATATCCAGCCGTTCCTGGTACCGACCTTCGAGCCGTTGACGAAGGTAAAGGGGTCGGGCAGCTTGGCGTCGTTGATGGCAGGGGCAGTGGCCCCGGCCTTGCTGCAGTCGGTTTGCTGTGCGAAGATAGTCTCGGCGGGCAGTGCCAAAGCGACACCGACGAGAAGGAGAAATGCGATGCTGAAGGTCATGCTAACGTGACGAGGCTTCGACGAGTTGGCGAGTGTTGGAGAGAGGACGTTTGTGTAGGAGGAGTTAAATGAGACCAGCCTCAGTTGGCCGATTGGCTACGTGTTGGATGTTTCCCCTTTTGTATAATCGTATACTCACAGCTGCTAAGTAACTTTTTAGCAACGACGAATGATAACAGATACATGGCCTAGAGTCGCGGAAAGGACTGCTCAGCGGAGAGAAGGATGTACGCGTAAGCCTATATACTTGGGATGGCTTCAACCCGGTAGAGATTTGTGATTTGGATAATTGAGTATAACTTAGACAGCGTTCTTGGTTTAGCCGGCAATTCTAACGTGCAGGATTGGGCAAGTATGGAGCGGTTGTTTTGGGGTTGCATCAAGGCCAACAACTACCGTCATTTTACCCCGCTGGCTACAATAAACGGGCGTCTATAACATCCACAAGACAGCCAACCATCATCAGGCACAGCATGGATGGATGATGTACGCCTTTGGCTTCTGGTAGGTAGGTTGTCTAACGTGACATGAAGTGGTTGACAAGCGCTCGGCCGAGCACCCATCTACCGGGATCGGTGGGCAGCTGTTGACGGGAAGTTGGCGGTCGCCGAATGCAAAGGCCGGCGTGGGCGTCCCCCCCCCGATGGAGCCACTTTCTTCCCCAATCAATCGGGCCCTGATTGGTCAGATATTTTCAAGCCCATCCATCCGCAAGACACTCGGTTGATTGATTCTCTTCTCTTGCGTCCTTCACCTTGCGGCTCTCCTACCTTTACCCCCCATCAAGCTAGCTTTCAATCTTGGTCTTCAAGGACCAATTCTCTTGGGGCCGAAACTCCCTCCAATTGCGACACATTTCGATCATCCCGAAGCCGCATGGCCCAGTAGGAGAGGCTAACCAGCGATCATCTGCTGCTGCTGCTGTTGCCGCCGCCGCCGACGACGACGACGAACTTAAGCAAGAATCCCTCGGCTCGGCCGACATGAGCGCAGAGCAGAGCAATAACAATGCGGCCAGCTCCCAGTACACTCCTGCGCCCCTACCGACTCGATAACGTTTGTCGCCAATGCATCCGTCAAGCCACTAGCGCCCCGCAGCGCGGCCCCGTCCCGTTACTGCCCTTGATCCCCCGGCGCGACGCCTCGACGACGGCAGCCAAGGCCGCACCCGCCGTTCGCCTTGGTGCGAGCTACTTCCTGTCCAACAGCGTCCTCGAGCGGTCCAATGTCCGGCCTCGACCGCTGGGCAGCCGGAGCTCCTCGGCTTCCGCTGCTGCGCCCTCCTCGTCTTCCTCCACCGTGCGCTCCGAGCCGACGTCAACGCCCATCGACATGAACCACGAACTGCCACACCGTCGTCGCCAGGCTGCGAGACGTAAAGCCGCCGCCGAAGCCTCCTCCTCCTCCGCCGCTTCTCCTTCCACCCCCAACGTGCTTCCTTCTCAAGATGCCTCCTCCGCCCTTACGACCGTCGCCGCCCGGCAGCCCGCCCACTCCGCCCGCCGCATCTTCTCGACTCTTCTTTCCCTCTCGAAGCCCCGGCTCTCGGTGCTCGTGGTTCTCACGTCGATGGCGACGTACGCCTTATACCCCGTCCCCGGCTTCCTCTCGCCCGCCATCACCGAGTCCCCCTCGCTCAGCCCGTTGACGCTGCTCTTCCTGACCACCGGCACCGCCTTGTGCTCCGCCTCGGCCAACTCCCTCAACATGCTTTACGAGCCTGCGACCGACGCCAAGATGTCTCGCACACGGAACCGCCCCTTGGTCAGGGGGCTGCTCACCAAGCGGGCGGCCGTCCTCTTCGCCGTCGCGACGGCCGCGACCGGCGTGGGCGCGTTGTACTTCGGCGTCAACCCGACCGTCGCCTTCCTCGGAGGCGCAAACATCGTCATATACGCCGGCATGTACACCCCGATGAAGGCTTTCAGCGTCGCCAACACGTGGCTCGGTGCCGTGGTCGGCGGCATACCCCCCCTCATGGGCTGGGCCGCCGCCGCAGGCGAGACCGCTTCGGGCGACGGCTCCTGGCGCGAGCTGCTCCTGGCCAGCGACGGCAGCTCCATCGGCGGCTGGCTCATGGCCGGGCTGCTCTTTGCCTGGCAGTTCCCGCACTTCATGGCGCTGTCGTGGTCCATCAGGGAGGAGTACAAGGCGGCGGGGCTCCGGATGCTCGCCTGGACCAACCCGGCCCGCAACGCGCGCGTGGCGCTCCGTTACAGCATCGCCTTCATTCCCCTGTGCGTGGCGCTCTGCGCTGCGGGCGTGACGGAGTGGAGCTTCGCCGTGACGAGCTTGCCCGTCAACCTCTGGCTGACGCGGGAGGCCGTGCGGTTCTGGAAGTACGAGGGCCACAAGGGCTCGGCGAGGGGCCTATTCTGGGCCAGCGTCTGGCAGCTGCCTGTCGTCATGGTATTGGCGCTGCTCCAGAAGAAGGGCATGTGGGGCCGTGTGTGGGACAGCATCATGGGCGAAGATGACGACGAGTGGGAGGATGAACTAGATGAGATGCCCGTCGTTGTGCCAACATCGCGAGGTAGCTAAAAAGAAGAAGAAGAAAAAGACATTGGGCGCAGCAGATGTGTAGGATTTGTATGTATGATAGTGTGCCTCTTTTGTCTTGGGATACGATCGGTTCCCTCATTGTCGGCCTAGATTCTCGGGTTCCAAGACGTCGGCTTCACCCTCCAGTCTTATCCACAAGGACAGCAAGTAGGTAGGGGCATTTCAAATAGAAGATTGCGCATTGCCTTGGGGTTTCGTTTTTTTTTTTAAACGGTATAAAAGCGATACGTTTGCGATCTCTGGCTCCCATTTCTTTTCAACCTGGTCTGTGTCCTCTGGTATCTATAGATGATAATATACACACAAGTATCATGAACCTCCACTCCACGTGCCATTCCGATCATTCGTCATTAAACAGGAAAGCTCGGTATCCATGTACTGTCGCTGTGACCCGCAAAGAACAAAAACAAAAAGAAGAACGAAAAGAGAAGGGCAGTAGAATAAACACTTGAGGGAGTGTATCCGATTTCCCCGCCAGAAGGTCGATATGTGTCACACTCATCTTCTTTGGCCGAGGTGGAACCGCCTTGCCCCTCTATGGAACGCCTAAAACGCCTCCTTGAGCTGCCCAAAGGCAATGCCATACCCGATTGCAAAGAAAACGGAAAGAGAAAGAAAGGAGAGGTATGGGAAGATGAAGAAAACTTCCGATACCCCAGGTTAGCGCCAATGAAACGGCTCTTCGCTCATGCCATGCAGTCACATCTGCTGCGAGCTACCGCCGCCACCGCCGCCACCCGGCCGGTTGATAATAGCGTCGATCCCCATATCCACGCTGGGCAGTCTCTGGCCGTGGGGGTGGAGGTAGGGGCTGGGAGATTGTGACTGGCCGTGGCCGTATCCGCCGTTGACCGAGCCGTTCGAGGAGACGGAGCTCGTATACCCGTGGTGGGCACCGGTGTGACCGTAACCGTACTGGCCGGCGTGAAGGGGTTGCAGGTGATGGAGGGAGGCAACGTAGCCCGCTGCCGAGGCGCTGCTACCGCTGGCAGAGTGCCCGGAGGACACCGTCTCTGGACTACTGTAGGACGCGTCTAGCTCGTCAACTGGGGTAAGCCCGAGGCCGCTGATGCCGCTGTCATCGTCATACCCTGGTGGTAGTGGCTGCCCCGATTCGAGGCGCTCCCGCCTAGCCCCGGCACGAGACGCGCTTTGCAGGTTCTTGAGACCGTTCGACATGCACTGTTGCAAGTTTCTGTTAGCAAATGTCTTGTGTGTGAAGCGGCGGGCGAGGGGGCCCATCTTACCTTGGCCTCGACGACATTCCACTTCTCACCGGTACGGGCCGCAAGGCCCGACCAGATCTCCTTTCTCATGCTCATGTACTCCTTGGCCAGACGTTCGAGCTTGCGATTATCCCAGTCGTCGGCCCCTTTGCGTTCCATCAGACGCTCATGGCGCTTCCTGCAGGCGTTGGGAGTCTTGTTGGGGAAGTAGGACATTTGTATCTGGCCCCAGTTAAGGCCTTGGGCGCGAGCAGCGAGCAGCTGCTGGTCATCCTGAGGAGTCCAGGCCCCCGAGGAGGCTCGGTGCTGCATTGGGGGTACGGAGACGGGGGGTGCAGACACCGGGGCGTAACTTTCGTACGTTGGCTGTGGCTGCTGCTGTTGCTGCTGCATTGGGGCAGACGAGGAGGGCATGGTGTAGTAGGCCGATTGCGGCATGGTCATGCGTTGGTTGTACATGGCGATGGGGTTTGCGGCGGGGGCAAGAGAAACGGGCATCGGATGGCCGTAGTGGTTGTGGCTCGAACTAGATGCCCGCGTATGTTTGGGCATGATGACTCTAGAGACGGTATACCGAAGAAAAATAGGCCTGACGGAGGGAAAGAGTGCAGATTACTGATTAGACTGCTGGAAAGAGGACCTGTAGCGAGCGTCTCGAGCCGATGTTGTTATTGTCTGTGCCTCGCCTGGAGGTTTCTTTTCAAGAAAGGGTTGACGTGTGGTGGTGGTGGTGGTGGTGGTGGTGGTGGTGGTGGTGGTGGCACGATCAAGTAGAGGGAGCGAGGGAAGATGAGATAGTCTGAAGAAATCTATGAGATCCGGTTTAGGAAATACGACGACTACGACTGGACAAGAAAAAGAATGAAAAAGAGACGGAAAGAGGAAAAAAAAAGAAAAAAGAAAATGGTTATGGGATAGGGGAGGAGTGTCTTGACAAGCGGATACAAGGTCGAGAGCAGGTCGAGAAGCCGGAGATGGGGCCCGACTTTAAACAATGTTGCGGCCAGTTGGGAAGACAAAGAGACGCAGAAGCGCGGTTACGAGGAGGCCAGGGTCAGGAAAATGTGAAACAAGGTAGCTTGGCTGAACAAGACTAAAAGACTTGCTAGAGGTGCCATGAAACCCGTCTCGTGTGTCCAAAGGGAGAGGAAGAGAGTGGCAGGGCTACAGACATTGGCTAGACATCTCATCGGGATGAGCGTCTGTCTGAAGTCGGGCGCGTAGAACTGGCCGGGTCTAGAGGGCGGCTACGATGCCCTCGGCATGATCGGACGGGTCGATGTGGTCCCGAAGAAGAGACTCCAGGGCCCAAACAGGAAGGGTATGGGGCCGGGAGGCGGGTCTGAGTTGTGGGTATGAGTTGGCGCCAGCCTTGCCGCGCTTGCGTTGTTCCAGTTCGGTAGTATTAGGGCTGGATCATGGCACAGCAGGCATGGAGTCGGACGAGCGAGTCCCCGGGCAAAGGCAGCAAAGGAGATGGCAGACTGTTGGGAGGAAGACGAGACCCCCACGATGGCGGCGGGCGAGCCAATGAGGCACAGATATGGAAATGAGAAAGGACAGCTGCATGGCATGAGAGTCAAGCAGAGGCGGCTGGCGAGCGCGCGGTAGATGGGCTAGGCGAAGGGGCAATTTGGTAGGGTCAAGAGCGGGAGACCTGTGGTCTGCGGTACGGTGCGGGAGTGGATATTGAGCAGCAACGGAAAGCTTCGTCCGGGGATGATCTGCATCCCGATCGGCGAAGAGAGAGAGAGAGAGAGAGAGACGCGCAGCGAAGCGAAGAGAGGAGTGGTGGGCTCTCAGTTCATCCGGGTGGGCACCGTGATTGACTGACAGGGAACAGGGGGAAATTGCATCGATTAGACGGGTATGACATGTTGAGAGAGAAGGATGGTGGTGGACATGGACAACCGGGCAAGATGGAAATTGAAGGTCGGTTTACTCGGTAGGTAGGTGGATTTAGACGCGCGCCTGGAAGACCGAGTGGGGCCGTGGATGGCCAGTGGATCTCGGGGTGACGATGGCCGGGCCTCTCAGTGGCCAGGGCTGAAAATAGACCACCTAGCTCGCATTCTACACAGGTATGTACCCACCCGTAGTACCTACTGTAGTTAGCGCTTTCAGCGTCGTCAAGGCCCACAGCGGGCCGGTCGGTGCTCCTCCACTCCACAAGAGAAGAGCCGGGCCGCCTGGGTTCTGCAGCCTCACCCTGTTACACCTACCTACCCACTGGTAGGTTCCTCCTGCCCAGGTAGCTAGATAGATGGATAAATACCTTGGGTAGCTACGTAGGCGTCTTTGAACAAGCGAGCAAGTGTCTACACAAATAGGAATTTTAGACATCCCAACCTATCTACCAAACTAGGTACCTACCTACCTATATACAGTACAGGTACCCCACTAAGGTGATGCGTGCGTGCGCTTGTTGTGTCCAGAACCAACGCACGGCAGGGACCAGCCCAACGGCCCTTTAGGCGGAGAGAAGCAAGACCCATAGCCGGGCGCTTGTTTTCAAGACGGTCACCTCGAACTCGGAAATGGATGGAGAGATTCGCATCAATTATGCATTATTCTATGACTGCCGTTGCAAAAGCTAGGTGGCTGCGATCTAAACTACCTACCGAGTGCATTCAATCATCACAGCGTCAATGGCCGGTCAGTCAGCATACAACTACGATCGATGATGTACAAAGCAGATGAAATAAGGACATCAGACGGAGCAAGGGCTACCTAGCTTATCCGTAGAGGCAATAAGCAAGATTCAGAAGACTCCCTCCTGTGATTAGATTGGGAGGAGAGAGGGTCAGCAAATAGCAACGTGAACTGCGTCTCCAAATGCCACATGGAGGCTTAGCACAGGAGCATACTTTCAGGGTCCTGTTCCCCTCAAACCTGTCATTAGGCACACCTCCTGGGATACAAGCCTTTGAAGTTGGACGAAGAACGACTTCATCACTGCTGCGGCATGATTGCGAGACGCGAGAACGGTGGTGGCGGTTAGAGTAGTGCAGTGAGTCTGTCTGGTTCTTATTTTTTAGCCACGCACCGTAGCATCTACATACAGGCAGGTCATGGCCCTGGGATAGATGTAGGTAGGTACCTAGGTAAGGTACCTAGGTAAGCAGCTGACTGGATTGACCCGATAAGAAACTGACGGCTTTCCGTGCAGAACTTTGCCTCCCCAAAGTGCCTCCTTTGGCTTTTAGTCTCTCTCTCTTCTTTTTTTTTTTTTTTTTTTTTTTTCATTTTCATTTTCATTTTTATATATTTTACCCTCACTGATTGGCAGCGCAACCATCTGTCCTTGGTTGCTCCATGCATCCTTTACCTGCTGCCGCGGCATAGACGGCCATTTCCCCCGAGGCCAAAGTACCTTGTACCTCAAACACCACTCACTCACTGGTGAGTTTCTACTACATGATCTAGGTACTAACCTACCCGGTCACGAGTGACGACTACCTTGCCTTATATTCTGCATTGTGAGTCGATACAATACCGTAGACACTGGGATAATTCGTCTTTGGCTAATGTATGGGCTAACGAGAAGAGGTATGGCGGCCGCTGAATAAGGGCTGGCGTGCTGGCAGAAACAGGGATCTGGAGGTGGCAAAAGCAGGGGTTAGTCATGTACGTCAGTATGAACTTAAGGCGTAAGAACAGTAAAAAAAGGGTAAGTGGACTAGTGGGTGAATTGACCGCCTTCCATGATAGGCTTAGTCAATGGACGGCCGCCATACCTCTTCTCGTTAGCCCATACATTAGCCAGAGACGAATTACCCCAGTGTCCACGGTAGGCAGGTAGGCTATCTGAGCCCCGCCGTTTGGCTAATTGAACTTTACATTGACTAGGTTAGCCACGTCTCGGTACCTACTCCTAATTGGTGACCCTAGACACAAGCCGCACTTCCCGGGCACCAACAATCTAGTACCAGTTATGTGACAGCAGTAGCGGCATTGCGGTCAGTCTTGAGTTGCGACCGCGCCGTCGCAAGGCTGCAAACCTCCACCATCACTGTTCCACACAGCCGTACGAGCATCTATCGCCAGCCGTCTTCAACATGGACACTGCGACGCCCAACATCACCCACGTTGAGTCACCCAGCCCCTGGGCTGCTTCAGGACACCTCAGATACATTGCGCTCATGCCCGAGTCCTTGGCAAGCTCTACCGCGGCTGTGGCTCTCATCGCGGGCTGGATTGCCTTGTGCGCCTTTCTCCGCTTCAGACGCATCACCAACCTGCGCAGCCAAATGGGCTTCACCGATCGTCGGTCCCTGGCGCGCATGACCAACGACCAGGCCCATCTCATCCTCAAGAACATCATAGATTTAGAGTTCCCCAAAATGTACATACTGTCTCTCCAGTTTGCCATCTTCAAGGTACGTCCCTCCACTTGCCCCCGAGTCGCAGAAGGGATGGCACGTCCACTGACTCTGATACTCAAGACTTATGGCTTCGAGTCCATGTCAAGACTCATCGTCGCGACCAAGAACTTGGCCGATCCCGCCAACGCCAAGAAGAGGTGAGATGCTTGCACTTGGTCACATAATGCCAGCCCTTTCCTCCACGCTTACATCCTGCTTCCAATCACTGATCCAGAGGCTAACATGCTCCTTCAGATATGAAGATACCACTATTCTCTTTGGAGAGTAAGTCGCACTCACTCCCTTTGCATCGTTCCCCACCCAACTTACAACAGCCTCCTCCCCCCTCCCCCCCAGATTCTCCCTGAACCCTCCCACCTCAGACCGCGCCCTCAAGGCCATATCGCGTATGAACTACCTCCACAGCCGATACGTAGCCGCCGGCCAGATCTCCAACGCAGACTTCCTCTACACCCTGTCCGTCTGCATCACCGAGCCCATCCGCTTCATGCGTCTATATGAGTGGAGAGCTCTGACCGATATGGAGGTCTGCGCAATCGGCACCCACTGGAAGTCCATTGGCGACGCCATGGGCATACAGTACAAGGGCTTCCTCAGCCAGGAGTCGTGGGCCGACGGTATCGAGTTCGTTGACGACATCACTCCCTGGGCCGCCCGATACGAGGTCGACGCCATGAAACCCTCCAAGCTTAACTTCCAGGCCAGCTCCCAGTTGGTTGAAATGATGCTCTTCCACGTCCCGAATTTTGCCCAGCCGTTTGCTCGGGAGGTACTCTACGTTCTCATGGGAGACCGCGTTCGCGCCGCTTTCTGGTATGTTTGCGGAGAAACCGTTGCGGTACCCCCCCGCCCCCCCGGTGCTGGCCAAGAAGCTAATCAGACGGCACAACCACACACAGCTTCCCCGAGCCCGGCATCGTCGCAGCCCTCGCCGCCTACGCAGCCCTCGTCACCCGTCGCTTCATCGTCCGCCGTCTCATGCTCCCACGCCTTACCCCCCTCGTCTACTTCTCGAGCCCAGACCCAAACACGGGTCGCATCCTGCATCACGACTACCTCGTCCACCCGTACTACAACCCCGCCACTTTCTGGAACCGCTGGGGCCCTATCGGCCTGGTGACCCGGCTCCTAGGAGGGACGGTCCCTGGCCCCGACAAGATGATGCCGCAGGGCTTCTTGTTCGAGGACATCGGCCCCCAGGAGAAAATGGGCAAGGGCTCTGCCGAGATGGCGCAGGGTGTTGAGGCGCTGAAGGGCCGGGGCCGTGATGCCTGCCCTTTCTTTTGACTGTCGAGGACCCTGGAATCAACGGAGCTGGGCCTTTTTTTCTTTTTCTTTTTTTACTTTTCTGGTGGCCATGAAGGATGAGGGTCTCGCAGGTTGCCAACAGGATCATCATTACAAGCGTGCACAGTGCGCGAGCCACCCGAGGAGGATGATTGGGTTTGGTCGGACCACTCGAGGCGAAGAAAGATACATTTAGTGTTATTGTATCTTGGTTTCTTCAAATCATGAAATCCAACTCTCGATCCATCTTCCCCCCCGGGCACGCTGACGCAAACACATACGCTCGTTGACCGAGACCTGTTTCCTTGTGCGTCACGTTACAAGCTGTCCATCGCACCTCAACACACACCGCCATCGCTCGTCTAAGCTTGCGTTGGCCCAAGGGGATAGATATGCTGCATTCGGCCATGCTTTCATAAATTCATTACCTCCGCCCGCGCCCCGGGCTTTGTCTCTCATCTACAATCACACCCTATTAACAAGTCTGGCGAAGTTTGCTCATGAGCCGGCGATCCCAAGCCCCACTCGGCCTTGTCCACCACTGTAGGAACCCATGCCGCTGCCCGAGTTCGTCCCGGTGCGCTCACGCATTCTCCTGCCTTCCATGAGACCCCGCAACCCTCTCTTTTGCAGGCCAATCACGGAGCTGAGCTCACCGCCCCAGATTTCTCGCATGCCCCCACGCTCCGAGTCGCCGATTTCTGAACTCCATTCAGATCCGCTGACGCTCGTTGTGGCGCTCAGTTCGTCGCTGGAAGGCCGACCCGAAGACATGGAGGTATTGATGCGTAGTGCGGCTTTGCGGGATGAGAGGCCTTGCAGGTCTGCAATGCTCCCGCCATTCTGAGACCCATCCGAGAGGAACACGGGTGAGCCCATAGCGTCCAGGGGTACGAAGTAGTTGGGGTTCAGAGAGCCGTCGATGCCACGGCCGCCGCCAGCAGCCATTGCAGTTGCGTTGAACACGGCGGCTGCATTTCTCGAGTCCAAAAGAGCGTGCAGGCGCTCGACCACCGCTTCGAGGAGGCCGTCAACCCGATATGGCCTGGCGATTTGGAGCAGCGAGCACAAGATAGGGGCCGTGCACAGGGGCGATGACGGGGGCGGCAGCGAGGACGTATAGAGGAAATGAAGAAGCGCCTGTACGGTGAGGTAGGTGTGCGGGAGGTACAGGCAGCGAGGTCGCGAGTTGGGAGGCAGAGACCTTGGTGTCGGGGCCGAGTTGACGGTGCTTGCGTCGACGCCGCCACCGGAGCCTGGGATCGAGAAAGAGGCTGCCGAAGCACTGGTCGGAGCCGTAGTCGGGGTTTTGGACGGCGAGCCGGACGACAGGGCGGCGCTCGTCATGGAACCTGAGCTCTCTACGGTGTTGCGGGCTGGCGTGATGGTCAGAGTGGAATTTCTGACGGCATTGCTGACCCCGGAACCAGATCGCAACGTCATAGCGTCGCTGCCGTCTTGAGTCGCCGTTCCCTCCCGCAGCAGCTGAACAAAGTAAGGTCCCCATCGACGTGCCACCATCCGCGAATTGATAGGGATCCTCTCTCCATGCAAGCACAGAATATCCATGTCGCATATCTCCCGCAAGGCCAGCGCTTTCTCCCCCAACTCTTCAGCAGCCCTCAAGTGGGCGCGCCCTCCCGCCGTAGTTCCGGCCTTTCTAGCCAGACTAAGACCGGGCCCAGTGTACGGGCTACTGGCCGATACGAATCCAGACATCGGGCTCGTCTTTCTCGGGTTGTCGTAGAAACCAAAGGCTTCCAACTCGACCATGCAAACATTAGAAAAGTTGATACGCCGATGATTATAGTCGTCGACGAGACTTCGTTTCCTATTGCCGAGAATAACAAACGTGTTCCTGCGGTTCCACAGCACACCGCGATTCCAACTACCCTGGCTGAAAACAGCGCCTCCAGCGTCGATTCGCGACCAAGTCAGGTTCTTGAGGTCCAAAGCCCATAACGCGTACTCCTGCTTCGAGGAGGTGAGGTATGTGCCGCTCACCACAAAATACGTGTCAATGACGCCGCCATTGGGAAATCGCAATCCCGGGGGCGAGTAGGAGCCCGTCATGGGCTTCTCGGTGAGAGTGCCGTCTGATGACCTGATTTGTAGCTCGAGCTTGACATCCAGAAAATTGTAGTTGGAGTAGATGAGCATGGAGGACCCGGGTTCCCGGGCTTCCTGGCTGATCCCGCCCTCTCGCTGGAATCCGTTTACATTGGACTTGCCAATTCGCGCCGACACAGACGGGGGCAAAGGCGCTACCACGCTTCTGTAAGCACCGCAACTTTTGTCGAGAGGTTCGATCGCCGTCCATTTGAGGCTGCGTAGGTTGAAGACGCTAATCTGCTCGATGTAGTGGTTGGCGCCATCTTGGCCGCCGACCACTACCATCTCAGCACCGCCCGTGCCGTCAATGTTGATTCCTATCCTTCCCTCGTTCGGGTTGCCGGATGATGGATTATGTTGCAAGGCCGACAATGGTGCCTTGTGTGATGTAAAGGCGGCTGGCGAAGGCAGGATACAGGCGCAGTGGGCGTAGCGACCTTGAGGCGGATCCTGCGTAGGGATGAACGTCCACTTGCGGGATGGAATGTCGTATATGTAAATGTCCGACATGACCGTGACTTCGGGCTGTTGATCCGGACCGGCGGCGGACTGGTTCGGCGTTGGGGACATGCCTCCGTAGCACACCATCTTGGTGTCTCCCAGCGCACACATGGAGTGGAAATATCGAGGGGGTGGTATGTCGCCTGTAGTTTCGAGCTTTGACCAATGCCTGCGAATAAGATCCAGCTCGTACAGGTCGGAGGTCAGGGGAGCCGGGCGACTCCGTGACAGTATTCTCCCGCCAAAGACATATAGCTTGTCGCCCAGTATGGTGGTTGTGGCGCCAACGAGCGGGTGGGGCTCTCTACCAGTGGTCCGGTGGACATTGCACATAAGACCGGAAAGATGGGCCGAAGAGGAGGCGGTCGGCGTACCGACCGCCGAGGCAGGGGTCCTGTTTTGGCTGGAAGAAGGAGACGGTCCGGCAGACAAGGGACCGCCACTCCGCGGCGTCAAACTCGGGTTCTCTCTCATATCCTCATTCCCATCTTGTCTGGAAGAGCTTGCTAAGCTGCTCTGGCTGCTGGACATATCAGCGTTATATCCTGTCCCACCCCCGTACATCTGGGCTCGTTCTGTCGAGATGCTGGAATCCATCGTGTTGGTACGACTGTATGTATCATCGGCCGGGCCCTCGTCTATGGCCCCGAGGTTTCCAAGATTGTAGTGTGAGGTAGGAGGGGCGTCGAGCCCTGTGGGCGAGGGAATCAGTGGCGGTGGTTCGGGCAAGGGTTTGGCAAGACTACTCTGTAGACTCAAACTCCTCCCATGCTGAAGCGGCCGGTTCTTGGACGAGTTCGGGACGGGGGTAGGCGTCGAGGAAGGAGGCGGAGACGGGGTTGAGGTCAAGCTGGGGGAAACGCTGCGCAGACCCAGTCGAGAAAGAGACGGCTGTCTCGTGATCCTCGATTCGCCGTCTCTGCTCGGAGCAAATTTTTTGAAGCCACGATAAACACCCGAGAGGATGTCTGCGGTAGACTTTCCGGGAGGGGATCTATCTTGCTCGGGCTCCGAGTCGGAAAAGCGTGATAGATCGCTCTGTGCAGAAGACTGGTTCGAGGTTAGTCCCGGTCCAGACATTGCGACACAATCGGCCCCCGGGCTGTGGGCACAGCCTGAGGAACCTTGTGTTGCAAAGGCAGTCTTGACGACGACGACGACGACGACGGCGACGATGCAAAAAGAAAGTTGCTCAGAAGTCGAAAATGAGGGCTGCGAGGTTTTTCATGCAGGGCGGGATTTGTGAAGGGGTGTCGGCAACACAATGTGGGCTCGGGGGAAGGAGGGCTTTCTGCATAAACCGCTCAGGGTCCGGGTCGTCCAAGGATCGTGGGCGACGGTACCAAAAGCGAGCCAACGCGGAGAGCAAGGCTTTCGAGAGAAGACAAGAAGAGGTAGTGGTATAGAAACAAGAAACAGGAAAGGGTAAACAGAGTACGGGATATGGAGAGAGCGGACGTCGTGAAGTCGTTGCAGGCAGGTAGGGAGCAAGACAACGACAAGGCGGGACAGAGAGTCGCGATGACCCACAACGGACAGCGGCCAGAGAGGGAGGATTGGCGGTGAATAAGAGAAGGGAGATGATGAAGTGAAAAGAAAAACCCGTGGGTCGAGCAGCTCAAGGCCAGGCTTGGCCGTTCGTCTGACTCTACTAGGTCCCAGTACCTTGTGACGGGCCTGTTCTCTATCTCTCGCTCTCACTTCGCTTTGTGTGGGTGTGTGTCTGCGTCTCCGGGGTGGATTCTTGGGCTAGGCCGGGCACAGCTGGTACTGAGCACCGGGTTGGGTTGAGCGGGAAGACAGAGAGGCCATGTCTGGCCCGTCTTCGTACGTGCTTCTCTCTGTCCTTTCGGTCTTCTCCTCCCCACAGGTGACGGAGAGCGGCGCACAAAAGATAGAGTGGGATGTGGGCTGGGGTGTGGAGGACAAATGGGCACAGGATATGGATGGGGACAGGAGGAGGGGGTGAGGAAAGAGAACAGCAACGACTAAAGAAGAAGCTGTGAGCAATACGCACCTAGGGCGGCCAGGGATGGGGCAGGGAATCGGACGGGTCAAGGCCGAGTAGAGTTGAGTAAAGTAGAGGCGAAGCAAAGACGAGACTTATGCTAGCCAAGGGTATGCGTAGGCGACAGGCGGGCTGAAAAGGCGGATAGACGGCGAAGTGGACGACGACGGCGGCGACGTGGACGACAACAGCAACGACAACGATGGAGACAGACAGCGAAGGCGACAGCGGTCTTGGAGACGACTCAGGTGCGGCGACCATCAATTGAGGGTTGGGTCGGCAGGGTACGGGTAGGGTATGTACCTGGCAAGTCGTGGTTGTGGGCGGAGACAAGGCAAAGTTCGAAAAGGGATCCTCGCAGTCGCAGTATGGAGTCCAAGTCTGATGACGATGGGGGTGTGACCTGGGACCCAGAATGCCCTTGAGGCTTGAGTGGCGGCGACGGCAGCGGCCGGAGACCACCAGCAAGGTTGCAGTCGTTAATTTCCAGATGCCTGCTCCTTTGGGAGAATGTGTCGAGGCTGAAAAGGCGTGGGTGTGTCTTGGGTTTTCCTCTTTGCAGCACACTGGGAAAAGGGGGGGGGGGGGGGGGTTATTTGGTTTAGGCGCACAGACCAGTCGGACAAGGAATTGAAAAGCAGGTCGAGCTCCGAAGCGGACGCAAGGGAAGAAGTGGGTTGGGACGAGACGAGGGGAGAAAGAGGGCGGGTCTGTAAGGTACAGTACTGGACCGCAAGCTCCGCATAGAGGAGGAGTAGGGGGGGGGGGAGGGGGGGGGAAAGGGTTGATATTATTCGGTCGAAGACAGTGCTGTGTAGATGGCGGCAAGGGAATGCGAGTGATGAGATGCGAGTGATGGGATGCGCTGTGACGGTGACGGACCATGCGATGCGCGCGGGTTTGGTGGTGTGATGTGTATTAGTGGTGGGATACCACGATACGTATGCGAGTTGGGAGGTGAGGATGAAGGTGGGAGAAAGTATGGGCGAGGGCGAAGGCGAAGGAGAGGATAAGATGGACGTTCCCCCACAGCCTGTGCGTACCGTACCGTACCGTACCGTACCGTACTTGGGTAGTAGTAAAGTAAAGCCTATAGGGGAGATGCAGAGAAAAGCGCGCGCCAGACAATGCAATGTGATGCGCTATGAAACGAAACGAAGCAGGAACAGGTCTTCTGTGGTTGTATCCGATCCGTACAGCACCTGTTCGTAGGTAGGAGTAGTCAACGATGAGCGTTTCAATACATATTTGTCTTGCAGCCTGCAGCCTGCAGAGTCAGGTAGATAACCGACTTAGGTGCAGAGAATAGGCGGTGGCACAACATACCTGGCACGTTGTGGCTACGCATAGGCACGGCAACAAGCAAGCGAGAGGACAGAGTAGACGGAGCGAAGGTGGGAGGGAATAGAGTGGAGTGGGGTGGGTAAACTCCCTATGGAGACTCCGTATGAACTTTGTGGACGGACTGACGATTGGCTGCCGTGCTGGGCGTAAGGTACACAGTACATAGGCTCAGTCCAGTCAATGTACGTTGCGTGACGTACCTACCCATCAGCTCTCCATGGCATGCACGTATGTACTTACTTATCTAGGTAGGTAGGTAGGTAGATAGGTAGGCAGGTGCTCATGAAGTACATGCTCTCTATATATTGGGTACTCTGTAGTACCCCCCCCCCCCCAAGTGTTGTGGCGTTTCGTTTATTTAACGGCACCACCCAGTCGGACCAGGTGTCGGCATTTGGCGTTGCGGGCGCGAGGAACGCCCTGTACTCCGCAATCGTGCGGATACGCTGACTGACTACTGACTGACTGACTGACTGACTGACTGAATTCCTTTGGAAGCTACGGATAGTTTACTGAGACTTGTATTCGAAGGAGGGGGAAAGGAAAGAAAAACCCCAAAAGGGAATAGGGATATGTGAAGGCCGAGGAGGATGAGATGCCATACGTTTCACCAGGTACGATAGGTACCTACATAGTAGGTACCTACGGCAGGTAGTCGGTCAGATACCTTGTCGAGTTTCGCGCCTCTAGTCAGCCCAGGTGAGGGCTGAGCTCGCCTTACCCTGTTCCGTCTCTCTCTTCCAAATCCCGCCCATCTCTCATCAAATGTGTAAATGGCGGTCCCTCCGTCTCTCTCTCTCTCTCTCTCTCTCTCTCTCTCCGAGTAGCTCGGTGAGGTAGTGTCAGATAGATTTCTTGCCAAGACAATAACAAAGTTTGTGAAGTCGGACAAATGGGAGTAAGGAAAAGAACACGAGAAAGAAAACAAAATAAAAACCACTAAAAAGAAAAAAACTCAAACGTCGACTGAGCATGAAGAAGCATGGTGGCTGGGAACGTACTTATGTAAGCAAACAAGTGGGGGAGGGTGGTACCCATCTGTCCAATGTACATCGGCCATGTGCTGCTATTAAGATTGTGCATAAGCCTCTTCTGCGAACGAGGGAATAACCAGAGAAGAAGAAAAGAAGCCGCGGTAAATTACGGAGCCCTCGCTCTCTCCACGACGCCCGCTCCCCCTATAATCTGTCCCACCAGACCACCAGTAACTGAGAAACCAACTCATATCCATCCATCTGGGCCGGGGAATCCTTTCTTTTGCTTTGCTCTCTTACGTAGTACTTTGTGCAAGGACTCGGTGTTTTTTTGTTGTCCAAATATCCGTACCAACCAAAGAACCCGATCCCCTGGAAGAGGCCCTGCGTGTCCCTCCTCCCGCTGGCCGGACCATGCACCACCATACCATCAATCGGAATCCGGCGGCTAGGAGAGAAAGATCAGACGATCGAGCTGCATAAAGGACCACCCCTCCCTTCGCTCCTCTCCATCGCACTAGGCACCCATCTACCTAGGTAGTTTCCCTGCAGAACACGCGGCACACGCACACAGTAGGGTAGGCAGGTTCATCGGTGACACCAGTCGTGTAATCTACGAGCGGGTGTGTGTGTATGTAGGGGTGTGTGCGTGTGTGTGGTTAATTCGCCAACCTCCAACATCCAATATCCCACATTCAAGGCATACGCCGTCTCTCACCCATGTAGCGAAACAGAGGGGAGGCGGTCTCTACTAGTAAGGCATGGTAGATACTTTCCGGCGAACTCGGTACACTAGCGTACTATAGGAAGTCAATTTCGGCTGCGAGTCCTCTCGATCTCCTTCATGAGAGCGAGATGGTGTACAGATACGTTTACCGGGCAGAGCAACACGCAGTACTATGTAGTGTATCATGCTGGGAGGCTGTCCCCCTGACCTAGTCCTTGTCGGCACCGCTCCTCCGGGCCTGTTGTCCACATCACCCTTGCCCGCCGTCCTGTATTCGTACACTATGTATTCTACCGGTACATACCAAACCCCGGGTGCTGTGACAAGGAGCCAGCCAACTTCCAATTACGCCCAGCGGTCCTCCGCAGGTTACCCGGGCCGCGGTACAGATACGCCACTCGCCGTCGTCGGAAACAAACGCCGCTTGCCCTGTCATGTCATGTCTCAGGCTAGCAATCTCGGGACAGGCATTCTGCCGACCCGACCCAGGACGACTTTGGAGGGGGGGGGGGGCCTGGAACGCCGCAGGTTGCGGACGCTGGCCCCTCGCCCCCCCGTGCAAGATGCAAGAGACGCCCAAAAACGTGGGAGCCCGGCCGACTTGTCATCTTTGGTAGGAGCCCACGTTTCACGCTTCCCCAGCTGTCCCCTGGTTCTGGAATCGTTCCAGCCTCACTTTCTTCCTCCCTGGAGACTCTGCCTCGTGTCGCGCCGGGGTCGTGCCTGTTTTCGGCCCGAGGCTTCCCAGCAAGCACTTGCTCGGAAAAGATAGAGGGGGAAATCAAAGAAGAAGAAAAAAAGAAAGAAAAAAGCCTGGGAGGCTCCTTGGTCAACGGACAGGTTCACTCTAGCTGAAGGACGCTATGCCGACGCTGGGGCGTTATGGTCGACGTAGCCGTCTGAGAATAAAAGAGACCGACTGTCTCCTCCGGTCTACTCCGCGTCTGTTCGGCCGAGTCATGTTCAGGGTGTGCCGACAGTAGAAGGGATCGCCACCCGTCGAGCTGGGGAAAGGAGAGGAGAGAGCCAAGCAGCAGGCCCCTTGGAAAGCTTCCCTGAGAGAGTGGTGGTGGCGGCCTCCGCTTGTCCGCGGCCTATGTAAGGCATGGCACGGAGTGTACTGTGCGTGCGTGTGCAACGCATTCGTATGGCTCTATCTCCAGACACCACCCGGCAAAACGCCAGTCTTCAAATAACCGAACCTCGTAGCGATACAACAGTAGGTATCGGTAAGTGTTCGAGTTTATCTAGCTGTCTCAATCTCCTTCTTTTGTTCTTGTACGGCGATAAACCTGTTAGGTGTTCCGCCCGATGAGAAGGACCGGCGAGCCGGAAGCGTTGTCCGCGACGGGGAACGTGCGCGATAGATAACCGGAGAGGATGTGCCTAGCGTCACCGAGTGCGCGCCATAGAAGAGACATGGAATACTTGTGACATTTCTCATTATTTCATACGTTCTATATGATAAAGGCCAAGGCGCTGCTGCTTGGACGCATACGTTATCCGGTTAATGCGTCACATAGGCCGTGCTAACTACCAGTGCCAGTGAGTGCTACGCGGGGTATTCAGAGGAAAAGCTTTGCCTCCGTAAGTAGTCTCCTACGCCTGGAGAACATTGGCCCTCTTTCGACTTTCTTTTCGGGTTTATCCGCCAACCTCAACCTCGGCCTGCGGTTCATGCAGACCCGGCTCCTCCCAGTAATGTGCCTGGAGAACCTTTTCATGCAACAAAATGCCCCCACACCTCGTTCCAAGCGCGGCCACTTACGCGACGGTGGCCTTGTCCTTGGGTAAAGGGGTGAAGCGCAGGTAGGGCTTGACAATGCGGACCTCGGGGAAGATCTCCTTGGCCTGTTCGGTCTTGATGGAGGGGTGGACGATGACGTCGTCACCGGGGACCCAGTTGATGGGGGTGGTGATCTTGTGCTTGTCGCCAGTCTGAAGCGAGTCGACGATGCGGAGGACTTCGGCAGAGTTGCGGCCGGTGGAGGCCGGGTAGGAGAGGATGGTGCGGATGGTCTTCTTGGGGTCAATGATGAAGACGGAGCGGATGGTGAAGGCGATGCCCTTCTCGTCGACGTTGGTGGTGTCCTGGTAGTCGAGCATGTCGTAGGCGTAGGCGACCTTGCGCTCCTTGTCGGCGATGATGGGGAAGGAGACCTTGGAGCCCGTGACCTCGTCAATGTCCTTGATCCAGCCCTCGTGGCTGCCGAGGGTGTTGGCGGACAAACCGATGAGCTTGACGCCGCGCTTGGAGAACTCGGGCTCGAGCTTGGCGAAGGCGCCGAGCTCGGTGGTACAGACGGGAGTGTAGTCCTCCGGGTGGGAGAAGAAGACGACCCAGTTGTCGCCAATGAACTCGTGGAAGTCAATGGGGCCGTTCGTGGTCTCGGCCTTGAAGTTGGGGGCAACGGTGCCGAGACGGAGGCTGTAGAAGAGGCAAGTCAGCTTTGCTTCGGACGTGCTGGGACGGCATGGCGGCATCGGCGGAGACGGTCCATGTTGACAGCGACGGCGGGGTAACGCGGAGTAGGAGTCGTAACTTACGGGGCGGGACGCTGGTCAGCCATTATGTCTATGATGTGAAGAGGTGCAGAAGAGATAATAGAGTGGCGTATATGGCAAATTGGCGATGGTACGTGGGATGGGAACAGCAATATTAATTAGGGAGATGAAGAGAGAGGGGAGAGAGCTGGTGGCAGGACGAGAACAAGGCGCGGGACTCGACGTGTAATAAATAGCCCGAGGCCACGCCTCAGGCACTACCTAGTAGTAGGTAGGTAGCTACTGCAAAGTGGAAGACAAGGTCGGGCCGTACCTTCGTACCTCGTTGTCCCCCTACCAGCCTACCACCCCTCCTTGGTTGTGTCCCTTTCAAATTCTTTTCCTCGGGTCTCGGTGCAGTAGGGGTCCTTTTCCCACATCAGCTCCATCTTGGATTCGCGATCTGTCCTTCTTTGGGTTTGACTTTGTGAAGTGGCAGGTAGCCTCATTTGCTTCTCTGGCATGATGGTTGTGGTATCTTATGAGCTCTATCATTGCTTGATCCAAGGCGGCGGCCGCCCGTCCTCATTTTTTGTTCCACTAACACCAACCACGATGAACACGGGCGGTCGCGTTGCCAACTACCGCATAGTACTAGTACGGTGCAATGATAGAGAGCCGTCCAGCGCGGCAGCCGCGTCAACAAGAACATACCTCTGCTCTGGTAATCAATCGAAGGCGGCAGAATCTCCTCGACAACGGGAAGTCATGTATCTCCATGCTGGCACGTCGTTCCCCAACGAGACGAGCGGGAGGGAGCTCTCTCCAATTGCCCCGCGTTGGAGGGGCTTTTTTTCCCAGGTGCCACTACCCCTCCATGTCCCATTCGGGTTAAGGCTCGATGGCGTGCTCGATTACATCATCTTTGGCCCAGGGCACATCATAGGAGGGAAACCGCCTACAGAAGACGCCTGGGTAGCGCATTGAAGGCACTATTCGCCCAAAGAGAACCCCCCTTGAGGTCGCACAGGTAGGTACACGACGATACTCGAACACGGTCGGAAAAGCACAGTACAAGCATCATGTCCAATATTCAACATCATTATGTAGAAGGGCTTCTGGATAGAAACAACAATACCATGCAATCTCGTAGCTGAACCTCTCTATTGAGTAAGGCTGCCTGCCGCTGGCTACCAATGCTTTTTAAGACCACTCACTCCTGCCTTCAAGCATATCATATGCCTGGTCCATGTTGCTGTGACTGTCTCGCCATCCATTCTACCCCTCCATATGTGTTCAATGGCAGCATAGAAGTCAAGATGTCTTCTAATTGCTAACCGCTTCGAGTGATCTACCCTTTCTTTCCTTCAGTATAATAATCCACTTCTCCTTCCGGGGAACTACATAGTATAACACTGTCCCTCACATCATCCATACTATCTAGGTAGGTCAGTAGGTACCCCAGTAGAGCACATACGGTAACTGCGATATCAGCCCCAGCTCAGAACCCCCCCAAGATCCAGACTTCGAGTGTGTCGAGTCAGCTGGATAATTGGCTAATAGATAAGGCTGCTGCTGCTGCATAGCCATCCGACTTACATGTCGGGCGCTCACATAACTTGGCTTATACGGGTTCAATGATCTTTTTGCATCATATGTCAGACTGGCAGGTACTCTTTAGAAGTCATATGTTCTCCATGGGTATGAGGACAACATTGATTGACGATCACTTGAGGCAATTTGAACAGCAGTTGCCTACAAAACCCATGGCCGCACCATCCATGAAGCGTGGTGCTGACCCATCTAGCCCCGGTAGCTCTCGCACGCCATCGCCGACAACCGTTCCGCCGCCCCACCTGGCCGCCGATCCCCTCCGTCCCACGCCGACTGCCGGCCGCCCATCCCTGGTAATCATGGAGGAACGGCTCCCGGCACTCGGCTTGGCTTGCAAATACAATCCAAGCGCCGGCGCACTCTACGCTCTACTCGGGCATACAAATGACAATCGTTTCCTGCGTGGCCATTTCGTCATGGTCCTTCCCTCCCACGATCGGACTTCTCGAAAAGAAAAAAGAAAAGACAAAAAAAATGCTATGCCGTTAACACCCGCTCAGGTTTTGATACGCGGCGAGTACTCGTCTTCGTGCCCCGTCCCCCCGGCCGAGTCTTTTCACACTTTGGCATCCCTAGCCAATCGACTTGTGAATACCGGGGTTCAATCACCATGGTCCTCCTCGGCAAAGGCTGATGCGAGCGATATACGCCGATGAAGCGTGCACTTGAAGCTTTTTGAAAACATTCCAGAACAAGTGTCTCAATGACATCCAAGCTACCTACTTTGTCGATTTGGCGAGTGATGGCTCCCTTGCTCTACAAAAGACATGGTAATGGCAGGCAAACACGAGCGCCTCGACATTGTGGACGCCCCTCTCTCTCCGTCTTTCTCTCTCCCCCCTTCCCCTCCTATTCCTCTCCGTCGCGTAACAGGCTGTAGCGTTGCTATTTTCAAGTGGAGGTGCGTTCTCTCGGTATCATTTCCATGTTGACGAACCACGTGCTCTGTTAGAGGAACGCGAGCAAAGCTTGTTTCAATGTATCCTGTTCAGTCATGTTCAAGGGAGGAGAAAGCAGGTGTTCATATGTTGGAGGGGGCTGGTTCTTTATGGTAGAGCCACCCCTACTGCCCCCTCAAGTGTCAGATCGTGAATTGGCCATGGGGGGGAAGGATACAAGGTCAATGATCCTGAAATGGAGGGAGCTAGTGTTATGGCAGAGGATGTCAATGCGATCCTAGCCATGACAGGGAGGGCGTCTGTGAACAGTCCCGGTGTAGAGCCGAGGATGCCGGAAGGCGAAAGTCATACTAGTCTTGTCATTCATAAGGCGGAACGTGATTATGTGGACTTTTATCGAGTGTCTTGCGGGTAATTACCTGAGTATAGACGTTACTGGGTCTTACACGGCAGGAATGGGACACAGGTCCAAGTATCTGGGTACTGTTTCATTGTCTCATACTAAAGGCAAACGCGGCCTATCGATGCGCGCAAGTTTTACTTTGACCATCAGCTCCGCAACCTACCTAGGTGTACGAGCATCAGGGTTCCGGTTGCCGACGCCTCCTCTAACGTCGCCCTCATCGAGGAGACGCAGGAGGGGTAGGAGGATCAGTGTTTGGGGATGGTGGGTCGTTTGGGGACATCTTTTGAGACTGCTGAGTTGGTTTGTCTGGGGTTATGAGAGAGTCGAGCGGGCCTAGAATCAAGTCTAGTATGGCAATGTTGATTCTGGTACGTTTTATCTGTGTAATGGGGGCACAGAAATGGATTCAAAGGCCGAGCTCACTGCCAGGCTTATATATTACTTGACATCATGTCAGCTATTCACTGTTTGAGGCAGTGTCGTGGTTGGGGCCGAGTGTGAATGAATTCCATTGAGCTGTATCAGTTGCGAGGTATGGTTCACAGCAAGAAGAACGGGAAACCGTTTTTGATAACTCCGCTTCAACTCAGAGCACTATCCCCTAGCTAACCGGTCTCCTTCCACTCCCCCTCTTTGCCTCTTGGCACCCCGAAACTCAACAACTTTTGCCACTCGAAACTGAGCGCCTCCATTATAGGAGATGTCTCGGCGTCCTTGCGCTCCCTGCCAAAGACGGTCCGGTTGCCAGCCTGCAAGATGAACGTAACTTTGTTGAGAGTCGACACCGAGTTCACCCGCTAGGCAACTGCCAGATTCCGCACGACGTGAACGGAGCTCGACGTACCAGGTCACCATGGCGCCCTGGGGGCAGGCCGAGCCGCCTTGAGGACGGACCCGATGCGGAGGGCAGAGGCGGTGGCGGCGGCGGCCAAAGGCCGGCGAGGTGGGGTGTGTGGAGGCGAAAAGGACCATCTTGTTTTGGGTGTGCGGTATTGACGACCAACTGGCGCCTTGTGTCTTTACCAGCCGGTTCCATGGCGAAGCTGTCGGCGCAATTCCGATCCGTCGGTTGTTGATCAGCCCAGGACGACCACGGACCTGCGAAAGAAGAGGGCCGGTTCTACACGAAAAACGAAAACCATGGTTGTTGTTGCATTTTCTTATACGATGCCCAAAGTTCCCCTCCCCCATGTCTACCATTCCCTCATGCTCTGTTATAATGCTGGGTCAAACTCCGTGTGATGCTCGTGTATCTCCCAAACCACCCCTTAGTCCATGCAATCCATCCATGCAGCCATTGTCTCCAGGCTCTTTGGCAATCGCTACAGTCCTAGTCCCAACTCATCCAATTTGACCTCAGGAAATCGTCTTCTTCCCCGGCTGCATCTTGTACGGGCTCTTTCCCCTTCTCGTTATTCTTTTCCTCGTCCGAGGAGCTCACCCTCCCGTCTACGAGTCAATCCCAAAGTCCACCCATCGATTCACCTACAGGCACAAGCTCGCGGCTGCAGACCTCGAGCAAGTCCTTGCCGCTTTTGGGAGTCTTCTCCAACTCGTTTGCTCCATCGTGAAGCCAATCCCGCTCGTACGGGTCAGGGTCAGAGAAGGTATCCTCTGTATGCGACTCCACGTCCCCGTCCGAAGAGTGTAGGTCTGAGGTCTCCGTGTGCGACGTTGCCTCTCCTCTGGACCCCGGCATCGCGACGTCCACTTCCTTCGCCGGTGTCATGTCTAGGTAAGTTGGGTTTTTGCTTTGAGCCAGTGAGCCCTCCGAGTGGCGTGATCGCTGCAATGGAGGCGTCACGGGCTTCCCAAAGTCGAACTCTACGGCCTCGAGTCGCATCGGGTTTATCGGGCTGGTCATCGGGCCTTTCACCAGTGAAACGTTGTAATGGCTCTTTGCCGCCCTCTTGAGGCGGGGCTTGCGCACGACGACAGGCGAGGCGCTTCCATGGCCATGTCGAGCCCGCATCTCCAGTCGTTCTTCCTCTTCCGTTTCCTCGTCCGTGAGCACGTTCTCCATCAGGCGTCGGTGGTGCGCCATGAGTTGCACACTACTACCAGAACACCTGCGCTGTCTGTTCTTGACGACTTCAGAGTCCAGAGTAAGAGCCGGAGCATCTTTAGACATCTGCTTCGTAGATGCGGATGACTTGGGCCAGGGCGGCGGCAGGACGATGCCGGTAGTGAGCCTCCGTAAGTCCACCTGGCTATCGGAGAAGACAACGCGAGCACGCAGACGATGGACGGCACGGTCCAGGGCGAGCTCGATAGCGCAACGGTCGCGGATTCGGCTGAGCTTCGGCCACGTTGCACGCTCGCCCATCAGACAGGCACGCAGCATGAAGTCAGGGCTGGGGTTGCTCAGGATCTTTGGGATATCGTGCACGTTGAATTCCGGAAGGATATTGATGTCGCCGGAATACTTCTGGCTGAGAATGCTCCTAAGCTTAGTGACGAGATTCGGGAAAAACCCAATCTCGGCCAGGAAATGCAACCGGTGCAAGGCCTCCTCCTTGGCGAGAGTTGTCAGGGTGTAGACCCAATCCGGGTCTTGCTTGCTGTGCGGCAGGCTCAACCGACGAGCCGCCGTGTCGTCGGGATCCAGCTGGTCGTCACGCGCAAGGAACGGGACAACGTGGGGGTTTACCTGAGAGACGATGAAGTGGTTTACGTTGAACATCTCGGCGAGCCTCGTCATAGGCAAGTCGTTGTCGACGGAACCGTCAATCCATCGCTGCGGTGTCGGGTTCCAGGGCATGTGCTCGCCGGTATCGGGGTTCTTTACCAGCAAGGGGGCGGCGCTGAAGACAAGCGGAACGGAGCATGAAGCAGCTACGGCGGACCAGATCATGACGTTGGGCGCCGTGATGTAGTTCAGTAAGCGCGGGAGCTCGTACATGGATTCGGTCGAAACGCAGATGTTTAGTACGCGTCGCGTTCGGTTGTACGCCTCCTGGAAAGTAAGGTCTCCTACCAAACCTCTCATGACGCGGGTCAGGTGCTTTATGTCGGACCAGCTTCCCTCGGTGAGCAGCCTTCGCACATGGTCAAAGACACCGTCCGGGTTTTCCTCGGCATCGAAGACGGCCAGGTCACCGTAGGGGAACTCCCTTACCAGACGGGGAATTTCTTCGTCCGTCCTTGTGCAAATGACGGCTGAGACGATGGAGCCTGCCGAGGCACCCGATATGATGCGCGGCAAGAGCTTAACCTCGAAGAGAGCCTTGAGCACTCCAATATGGGACATACCCAGTGTTCCGCCTCCGCTCAACAACAAGGCGCTTCGGCCAAAGCTCTGACGAGCGTGCAAGACGCTCTCGAGTATGTCCCTTTGCCCCATGCCCTCGGGCAACGCGAATTGGCTCTTTTCCACAAGGGCGTCGATAGTCTGCATGGCCGAGTCGACATATCTTTCGATGAGGTTCTTGGTGCCCACGTAGGAGTGCCTGTACAAGTCGACGTTTTCCATGCCACCGAGATCTCGAGAGAGGGCGGTCCGTACGAGGTGCATCATGGCACGCGTGTCGCAGTTTATGCGGGCATCGTCTAGTTCCTTCAGCCGCGCCTCGATCAGTGCCGGGTTGTAATCTCCCGTGTACGGATCCAGTTTCCACATGTCGTTTTCTTCGAGAATGTCGAGTTCTTCAGCAGCGTCTTGCCACTGTTTCCTAGTCTGGGCCTGTGTGAAGACGACCTGTCAGCGGTGTCACGACGGCGCAAGGGCGAAGAGGACCCGCTCTCCAGAGCCATGACGAAAGGTGGACATACATTTTTCATACGGACGGCAAGGACGAGCCTTCGTTCTTCTTTTTTTCTCCTGCTCTCTCGTTCCAGCTCGGTCAGTCCATCGCGCAGCGACAGGACGAGGTTATTGGCGCTTTTTACGGCACGGGATATGGTGTCGAGAGCGGTAGTAAGAGGTGGTTGTGGTTGTTGAAGCTGTTGCTTCTTGAATGACGAGGAGCGGACGGACTTGAGGGACGCCGAAGGGACGGTGGAGGAGGTCTTGACACGGATTGCAGGGAGAGGGTGAACGGAATTGAGGAGGACGTCGTTCATGATGGCAAAGAGGAGGTCGATGCGGGAGTAAAGACTGTCGTGGTCGAACCTAGATGTAATGTCGAGGAGAGGAGGATGATGAGGAGGAGGAGGAGGAGGAGGAGCTGGTGAACGAGAGGTAGCTTTGGAGCCGTGCGTTACGCATCACAGTTTGGGAGCGTCGTCGTGGTCGTGGTCGTGGTTATGGTTGTGGTTGTGGTTGTGGTTGTGGTTGTGGTAGTGGTGGTGCTGCTGCAACAGGCCTGACATGTGCCTTTGTTAGGAGTCGATGAAGGCTGGGCGGTCAGAGCATGCGCGCGCGTCAGTGTATCGTCGCAACGACGGCGGACTCGGGATCAAGGACAGAATAGCGCCCCGGGAGGTGCAGAGAAGGATGAGGGAGGAATAGAGAGGACTGCGGATCGAGTCTTGGAAGAAAGAAGAACAGCAGTTGTTCGAAGGAAGCGTGTGTAGAAGACGTGGGATCGTAGCAAGCAAGCCAAAGAAGATTTGCAGGTGTCAGATGAGAGCAGTGTTTTGGGAGTTGTGATTTGGGTGACACGAAGCCAAGGCAGACAGGGAAGTGATGCAGATCCCCGACGTTGGGTGCGCAGATGACCACACAAACTGGTGGCAGAGGGGTGGGGGGGGGGGGGGGAGGGGAGGGGTGTGTGCGTGTTGGATTTCGTCGCGGGAGACGTTCTATCGAGACCAAGGACGCAAAGCAAACCCCCCCGTGGTGGTCGGCAGCGAGCGAGGACGGGACGGGAATGGTTAGGAGGAACAGGCGGGCGCAAGCGGGATGAGATGGTTGGGCTAGGTGGCGTGGAGGATGTGGTGGTTGGAAGGGTGAAGCGACGGATCGGAGGACTCGAGCGGTAGGTAGGTAAACTAGGTTCACTGGGAGGAGGCCGGGTCAGGCTCAGGAGTGAGGAACGGTTTTATGTAGAGGGATAGTACAAGTAAAGATGCAAGCTGGCGATGCAACAAAAGATGGATACTGGGCAGTCGTGGCATTTGCACTACACACGATACAGGCTCGTCGATGGTCCGGCCTCGATGGAACATGGATAGTGGAAAGAAAAGTGGGCGATGATGACAGTCGCAGGCGCCCCCGGACAGGGAAGCAGATGCATAACCCCACCCACCAGCTGACTCCAGTGCAGGCTTCCCCCACAGATCGCCTCCGCAGTCCATACGGCGGAGGGGGGCGGTAAGCCCAATTTGCTATTCCACACAGGAGTGCGGGTATTTGGCCCGGGTGTGGTTTTGAGACGGGCAGATACACACACACACACACACACATATACACACGCACGCACACGCGGCGTACAGCAGACTCTAGAACCCTCTTGAGTCGAGGGCAGAGCCGAGACTTGAGCCCGTGGGTTGCGACGTTGACCCGATTTGAGGCATACGTCTACATATACTTGTACAACACCTGGGCTACCTACCTAGGTACCTAGATAGATACCTACCCACCTTTAGACATCTACCTAGGTGGGTAGGTACTTAGGTACCTACCTAGAAACCTACAATGTAGTGCATTAAGGTAGGTAGGGGGGAGAGAAGGAGATGGAAAATAAGAGGAAGGGAGATAACAGTACGTACCGCCTCCCTGAGTCCACGTGCCTGTGTCGCTACGACCTAAAGAGGGACCGCCTTGCATATGTACTACTTCAGTGCCTGTGTAGCCGTGTCACCGTGCCGCAACAGACGAGACGCCGCACGCCGCAGCACCCAGAACGTCGTCTTATTCTTCCCCTTCCATCTATACCAATCTGAGCCTAGATACCAGTGTGCATAAATATATATTTGAATATATTGCCTATGCAATATAGGTATCGTTCTGCATAGGTGCGGTAAGGTACAGCCGGGGCCGTGTATGCAAACCACCTACCGACCTAATGAGCATATATGTACCGGTATCCGTATCCGTGCAGCCGCAGCACGGGATCGCCAGGAAGCCAAATGACCTGCCCTAAGCCGACATTCCCCAGACCAGACTTGTGAGTAGCTCGCCCCGGATTTAGGGATCTTGGGGAAACACCAAGCACTGCATTGTCAATTTCCAACCCAATCAAGCCCTGCCGCGACACACCCTCCCCATCCCCCCACCATGCTTGTCTCCACTCTCTCTCTCTCTCTCTCACTCTCTCTCTTCTCACCCGCTTGCTCACTCCCCCCCTTCCTTTCGAACTTTTCCCTCCTTCCTCAGCACAAGGTGAGCTGTCATCCGCTGCCTTCCGCCGACCGTCCCAGCTGACGCCCTCTCTGTGTCTGTCTA